TTTGGTCAAGTCATTTCGAGCATTTGTTGGAGATGAGATAACTATGATAGCAAAACTGAAGGATGAGGATACTGGGCTGTCCTATCCCAGATCTGGGCAGCTGCTCCGAGGGGCTGCTCTTGAAATGAAGGGTCTTCTCTGAGGAGTCAGGGCTGGACGTCGTCCCGTTACCCCGCGGGGCAGCAAATGCACCACAGGTAGCAGCACAAACCAAGCTAATTACTCGGCTGGATGTTAATTAGCTGTGGGATATTCTGGGAGTCATTGCCTTGCTGAAGCAATTCTTTTTTTTTACTTATCAAATCTGCTCGCAGAGTAAGTATCTCAAAGAAATTAGTAGACAGGGACTTTATTTTTCTTTCCAGAATAAATTTGAAGAGACATTAATGTCTTTGAATCCTCTGGATATAATCTTAAATGATAACCTGTTACAATCTTGTATGGAATTGAGGTTATGCACCAATAAGATAGCTAACAAGCTACATCATGAGAGAGGAAAGCGCTGGAGAAAACAAGATCATCTTTATTGATATAATACGTGCATTGTATAATATCTTAATAGCGCCAAGCTTTACATTTAGGCTCTCAAATGAGCTGCCATTTTGTGTAGTTAAAATATTATGAAAATATCATGGGGTTTTTTTTTTGGGGGGGGAGGCGGGAGGGATGCTATTTGCTGTGTCTCTTTAAAAACTTACTACAAAAAGTCCTGAAAGAGCCTCCTGAGGCTGGGGAGACGCTCTCAGCCCAAGCTGTCTCATCGGACCAAATGGTTGCTACAGAGGAAACCCGTGAGGCTTATATGCTCATGAATCATTGGGGATTGTCCTCCAATTTTAGGCTATTTAACCGTGTTTTTGTTTATCTCATTCTTTAATCCAGGAATTTGTAGGTAAAAGTATTAGTGATATTCCGTGTTTTAAAACTAGATGTAGTCCACCAAATTTCTACAAACACACCAAGCAAAAATGGAAAGTACTTGAAGGCGTTTATTGGCTAGGATTTGTAGGTACATGCAAGACAACGGAACCAGCATTTAAAAATTTCAAGTTTGGGGTTGCTTTTTTTTTTTTTTTTCCCCAGTAGGGAAGAGCCCCCATAGGAATCCCAACAAAACACCAGGTTAGCAAAATGTTCACACGAGAGATGCCCTTCGCTTGGCGCGGACGTGCTGTGCAGGGAGTTGGTGTTTCCAGCCGCTGGGCACGCGCGGTGGCCTCTCCCATCCCTTCGCGCGAGGCTGGGAAGCCTCATGTTTAACACCAGCCGTGGGGTTGTTCACAGAACTGATGGCTTGCACCTTTCAATCTATATTCTTATGCCTCTGCCAGCTCCTACACTTTCTTACAGTAAGACCCTCTGGTGCCCCACAGCCATTTCTCCTGTTACTTCTCACACTTCCCTCAGTCCTTGTTACTGTCTCCAGCTTCCCGTTCTTCCGGAATCCCAATTTATTTTGCTCTCTCTTTCTGGAGTAACCACTGTTAGCTGCAAGTTGATCCCTTATCAGCAGAACAGGAGAAACTCCCCAACTGCTCCTCTCCTCCACATGCCCATGAATTATTTTGTTACTTAAGACACCATATTCTGTGCTGATTTACACTCCATAACTCCATTTACAGACTCATAAATCAGTGCAATATTTGGATGGTAAATTATAAACTGAGCAAAGGAGTTTCTCTAAGCACATTTTTAAAGCCTCAGGTGCTCTATACCGCATGAGGCAGAAATAATCCTGCTGTCTAAACATTGCTTTTCCTTTATTAAGGTAATACAGTCTTGGACTTATTTTTTCACATCAGAGATAATCCCCTTGACTTCCATTATGCCTCTCTGAGCCCCATATTAAGCACATGCACCATTTTTTTTGCAGAAGCTACCCTAGAATGTTAAAAATGTACATCTGAGATTTATAAATTGCCAATAGCCCTGTAGCAGAAAAAGGATTTCACGGAGTTTGTTTTTTAGCTCATGTCATTCGTGCAGTCCTACCAGCTCTACCGTGGTGGCTCTTCTGGAAAAAGTGTTAGTGTGAAAACAACTGCTGCCTGGTGCAACACGTGAAAGAGGGACAAAATCCTTCCTGGAAGCCCTGCAAGGCCTCCGGCCCTGCCTGTGCTGGGAACCAAGCCCCGAGCCCTGGGCATTATACAACAGTTGTGGATCTGATCCGCTTTGGAAGAGGACCTCTCCCTGTGTTTGTGCAGAGATCAGTAGATACCGGCTGCAGTTATTTTAAGGAAATCTGAGGTTATGGCAGCTCGGAAATCCTCGTCTCATTTGCTGGTGCCAGCAGCTTTGTGCAGTGCATCAGCCCTTTGGCGCTGTGCATGCTACTGTGAAAAGAGCTGATTTATGACCTGTTTAGGAAGTGCTTGAAGTAAGCAGTAGCCATACACAAAGCATTTCCGTCTCCATTATGCGCAGTGGCAGATTTACACGGTGCACGGCAGCGGGGTCCAGCAGGAAGCAGCATTTTGTCCACTCGCGGCTTCGGCCGGACGCTGCCGACCGGCGCCGCACGGGCTCTGCTCAGCGAGGCTTCGCTTCTGCGCGTGCTTGTGCTGAGCACCCAGACACGCTCCCTTGAATACAGGTAGTTCTGATCCATGTTTTCCTGTTGCTCTGGCCATCTTTAATCTCTTGAGGTAATTATAGCAAGTTGTTATTATAAAAAGAGACCTGACAGGTGCTATCACCGTTTTTCTCCCTCACCTTTTCCTCAGTTCCTGGACTAATAAAGAAGAGGATTTCTTCTCCTCATGAGTAGACCCAAATGAGAATCATCAAAACAAGGCATTTACTGTCAGCTTATCTTGATCAATTTTGGACCCAGATCAACAAGTGTAAGTGTGTTAAAGAACTCTATAGACCTACGCTGACCTACACTGATTAAGAACATGGTACCGCATTCGTTGCAGCAATTGTGGAGAAAGGCACTTAAGCAAAACATTATAGAGCAATCTAAAGAATACTGTAGGCCTGTTGCATAGAGCAAGAGTATTACAGACTTAACTGAGGAGCTTTAAAATCGTTGTCAAGGAAGTCATATGTCTCAACAGCATGTTAGCAATAAACCAAATTAATTAACCTTGAAATCTATCTTAGACATACTCATATCTAAACTTTAGGAATTAGTTTGAGTTTTCCACAAACCATCACACAAGTAATAATCACAGCCTGAAAAGGCTGAATTTTTTTTTTAAAAAATCCTTTAAAGTGAGACCTCTTCCAATTAATGAAATATGCCAAGAGCAGTGGTATGGAAACAAGTCTTAATTTTTCTATGCTTTGGTAATACAATGACAAAAAAGTCGCCCTAAAAGAGCCAGGTTTTATAACTTCAATCAGCTACAGAATAATAGGCTGTTAAAAGTGACCTTATGTCATCAAAATATATTACAAGCATATTTTAAAGATACCAACAAACCAATAATATTTTAAAACCATGTCATATTTTTTCTTCTGCACACAAAGAAAATAGATTTCAGTGAGTATAAACTTATGATCAAAAAATTAAATTAAATATTGGAATGGTGAATAACCTTAACGGTAATGAAACCTGACTCATATGATCTGAAATACACAGTATCATTTTATGTTATTAGATTAACATAGCACCATAAGAATCTTGTGTGCTTCAGCATCTTGATACAAAATACAAGATATAAAAACTCGTGTAGCAATCAAGAACAAACAATAAAAGGTGATGCACGTATACAAATGTGTAAAAGTCAAGCTCACTTTCTTTCCAACAAATGTGGTTCAGCCAAAGTAGTGAACCAAGTTATTTGATATCTACTGCTTCTACCTAGCAAGATATGTTATAACTTACAGGATAGTTCTACCATTCAGAAAGCAATATAATTTAATTTAGTTGGGAGAACTTTTTGGTTTATCCCTGCAACTCCTGTTGCTGCAGTCTGATACGATTAGAAGTACCACCACTTTGCAAAACCACGTAAAGATAAACCAAAATATTGCTTTCCATCTCCCAGTTCAATACAGACTAAGTATCCTGTCTGTGAAGCTGAATTCTTATAAAAGTACTTTTAAAAACTTGCAAAAATGGCTAGCACCCCAAAATCTAGCATCTGTGGCTTTGATGTAAAGATCTAAATGATTGTCAAATGGCTACTTCAAAAGTCATGACTTCACCCCAAGTAAAGTTAAACGTTTGACTAAAAACTAAAGCTATGGATCTCGAAATATTAATTAGGAACCAAATGCTTCCTAAGCTTAATATTCCCAAATGTTTAATATCTCCAAGATTTGTGTAGCTTCTCAAACAAGATTTCACGGCATTAAATTGTATTCCGGTATTTCCTCTTCTTCCAAACATGGAAACTTCTATGTTCATTGACTTCTCTTTGCTGTTTTGGTAAGTAATTAAGTGAAATTTGTTTTTTAGCTCTAGTTGTCAGCTACAGAAATTTGGGATTACAGTGGAAGCGTTCCTTCCATGTGACCAGAAGAGGAAGCTTCCCAAAGAAACGAGCATGAACTAGATTGCTGTACCTCGACATAGAGATGTGATTTTTAGAGAATGCCAACGTAATTTGCTGGCGTTTGCTGCTCTCAAATCAATATCCAGTTCCCTGGATCATTCAGGGAAGAGCTGTATACACAGCTTGTGTCTGAAGAACTGAAACGGAACCCTGAGAAAATCAAATCTATTGGAAAAAGTGTGTTGCTTAATAACTGCTTAATAGTATCAGTTTGAGAAGTGTTAATTCTTCTGTTGAAAAAAATGGGATAGTCATTTTTTTCTAATGAGAATTACTAAAATTTATCACACTTGAAAACATAAATACAGTTTGGGGTTTTAAGTGCATATCTAGGGTTGATTAGAATTAAAAATAATTCATTTGAAAACTCTACCCATTCCCCAACAATTCAACATTACTCAAGTCATCAAAATTTTACTTGCAGACTTTGAGTTCAGAAACAGCCTGGCATGGAGTGATGTTCTCCCAGTAACTGCTGCAACAGATTTGTCACCATATTGTCATACGGGTGCTCAGGGAGTTGGTCTCAGCTCTCTTCAGCCTCGTGTGCAATTCTCATCGTTCCCATGTATCCAGAAGCAAATCTGGGCATATTTGAGAGGCGTAATTCTTACGGCTACGTTATAATCCTGCTGTTCACCATTGACATCCACCCATTGATGGCCCGAATAAACAGCAATGATCTTGCGCTTCCACTTCTTTTTGTCGGGCTCCTTAAGACGGAGATAGACCCCGGATCCAGTGGAGCCGGGCTCAGCGTCGCAATACTGATAAAAGAGATCATTGGACTCATCAGAAATGCTACAAAACCGATAGACCAGCTGCCCAGCACGATCGTTGTCAAAACCCGAGAAGTGGATCATGCTCCCAGGCATCATTTTAATGGCGGGGCTGATTCCCAGCTCCATGTATTTCCTTTTGTGGGGACGCTTGAGCTCAAGAACAGCATAATCATAATCCAGGGCAATATCCCCAGACACTCCCTTAAACCAGCCCCTTGGGATGTGGGTACTCTTCACCCTGGTCCACTGGAAGGCGGGCACGCCGTCTGGCGTGTCCTGCTTCCTCCCTGATCTCCTCTGCTTTCTGCCACCACCCCTGGAGCGCCGTCTTGGCTCAGGGGCAACTTCAGGATCATCCAGGGGCTCAGAAGCTTCGCGCCTGCTTCTTTTAGCACCTTTGCGTTTCCTGCCGTTCCCTCTGGATTTGCTCTTCATCAATCCCACCCTCAGTCTTTTGCTGCCTTTAACGTAATCCTTGCCGTCATGTAGGCAATGAGCAGCTGTGAGCACGTGCCTGGGGGAAATGAGGATGCCGCTGCAGCCAGTGGAGACCTTCACAGCGGTGTTGAATGGGAAGTTGGTCATAAACCTCTTGTCATAGATGCTGAACCTACTGTCCGTTCCATAGATCTGCCTCTTCCTCCTCAGAGACGTTCGTGCAGTTGTGTTTTCCGCTGGATCAAGCATTAGCCCAAGGACATTCACTTCCGTCAGGGTCCGTGTGCCGTTTTCAAAAATGGTCTCATAGGACAGGATGTCCTTCAAGTCAGACAAGCTCGGCACTGGCAGTTTTCTTTGACACTCAATTCCACAGACACTGTTCAGCTCTAGTTTGGGTTTTGCTTTAAATGTAGGGCTGTCAAGTGAGAAAGTTCTTTCACTCACAATCTGGGGTACTTTCTTTAAGTGCCAAGTAAAATCTTGTTCTGTTTCTGTTCCATTAGCAAGACCCAAGATAGGTATGAATAGCATGAGTAGCAGTAACATGTGCTCCATTTTGTCTATTTTTTTTTCTAAAACAAGAAAGAGAGATTTAAAAATAGGCATTTGAAATATACACAGTTATCTTAGTGTCTTAAAAGTATAATCATGCGATATTAACACTAACACTGGTTGAACAGACTTTTGGCTAAAAATAGAAATGCATCCAATAATTTTGTGTTGCCTTTGACATGCCTACGAGTTTCCAAAAATCTAGGTGCAGATCGGCCAACCAGCATCTGTGTTGTGTTACCTACTGGAACTTGGGAACAACTGAGTTTTACCTGCTGTTTTCTCATGCTGGGGGCAGTAGTCGGAGTCATTTCACTCTGTACTGGCCTCTATTTTTATCTATGCCACAGAAATGTTATTATATTTAAAATTTTGCTTTCCTAACTACCAGTTGTAGGTAGCACACAGTTGCAAATGGCCAGTCTTTTCAAGAATCCCATTCAAAAGATGGGATGAAGACAAAGCCGGTCCAAGAGACTAAGCCTCTTGGGCTTATTCCCTCAGGATATCAGACTGATCACATCCTCTGACATAATGACCTAAAAGCCACCAGTGGTTTTACATGACCCATCTCCACAGGTGTTTTTGCATGACCCACCCAGCTGAGATTGGTGAATCTGCCAACTATGGAAAATGAAGATCACCCTCCCCAGAAATGTAGTTTGAAAGATCTCCATGTTCTGTCAAAGGTTATATTGCCTGGGTGTGACAAATGGAGCAACTTGGACACCTAACCAAGGTAGCCAGTGCCACGTTCGGTGCCTCCACTGCTGCTGTTGTGGGTTTCCTGCAGCTTTCCTGTTGTATCTCCCTACACACTGTGGTCACCAAACACTCTCAGGATGTCAGACGCCCTCAAAGGCTGTGGTCACAGGGGAAGCAAGGGTGAGAAAAGTAGAGGTGGTTGGTGCAGAGACGCGTCCTGGTTACAGACGTGCGGGAAAGCCCGGCCAAGCAGGAGGGCCAAGCACGATGAATCATCGCGCGTTGTCGCCTGTGGGATCCCACAGAGGCCGCAGAACTGCTGCCTCTGGGTTAGGGCCGCGTGCGGCCTGCCCCACCGAGGCGGCCTGAGGCACCACGCGAAGGGCTAACGCTTTAAGCAGGCAAGACAAAAAAAATCCAGTATTATTCAGGTGTGCAGTTGAGAAACACGCAGAAAGACTGTGAAATTGAGACACGGTGAATTCACAGAGACTCTGTGAAATTGGCAGAGTCAGAACCTGGAGCCACAACGCTTGGTTACTGAGCTAGACCACTCTCCTCCTTTGTCTGCGGCTGCCATGGAAGCCAGGCTTCCTTCTCAGAGCCCTCCCTCCAACCGCACAGAAACTGCCACTGCGTAAGAAGAAATGGCCTGTAATTAAACTTTAAAACCCAGGCAATTCAAGGATACTTATGTGGTTCAGGTTTCTGGTTTATACTGCAATAGCAGAGTAAATCAGGGTAAAGATAATTGCTTTGCATTTCTTGTCCTTTGTTTAGAATGAGTATTGCCATGCAGCGAAATAGCCTGGTTACAGGCTAGCAAAAGGGCCAGCATTAAAAAGAGCAGTATGTAGCACAGGAGAGTAATTGGTAAGACCACTTTAGAGGGTCCGCAGTGAACAAACTCCTGTAACTCTGAGGCAGCAGCACCATTCGGACTAAGCTCCTGTCTGTAACAACTGTCACTTTCTAGCTAACTTAGCACTATGGTTCAAACACAAGTTACTGCTTCTGATGTCAAGTTCAGATTGGTGATTTTGTTTTTGTGGCATTTTTGGCCATCCCTTAGCTGGTGAGGAACACAAACTTTGACCCCTAGTCTTACTAGGATGGATGAAGATATCCATCGTGGCTAACTAGGATTCTGGAAAATACCTAGGAATGTCAGGACAGAGCTTAACACAGGCTCATCCTCCCCAGTTTCAAAGCACAGAAGGGCCTGCACAGGATTATTTTCACCTACCTAAAGACATGTCAAATTCAGAGTTCTGTCCTAGCCTGTTTTGTGCTTTCTCCATAATGAATCAATAGAGAGAATTTAGAGAAAACTCAGCTGCTGCTGCTGAAGATTGCCCTGAATGGGCTGAGCCCCCTTCTGTACCTGCGTGCTCCAAGCACATGGGCAGCAGAGGTGATTAGCCAAGGCTGTATATCCGTTTTCTTGACAGTTATATTAGGTGAGGGAGCTCCCACCTTAATATTATACTTACAGAGCAAGTTCTGGGATCAACGAACACTTTCAGCCCTTTACTTCTCTTTAACCGCTTGGTGTATAAGGATGGACAAAGGTAAACTGATCTTTAAGTCATAGAAGAGAGAAAAGAGACACTCTGAGAAAACCAACATTAATGTTACCCAGGTTCTACTTTAGTGCACCATTTGTTCCAGGCCATTAATATGCAAGTTACAACATTTTTTACTTAATTCTGTTTCCTGGGAAATTAGTGTAAATAGGTATACAGGAGCATAAGGAACCCTAGTTTATTCCACCTAAGATTTGTCTTCTGCATTTCTCTGTTCAGCTCTAAGAAAAACCCTAAGATGTGGGGTCGGGAAGCTCCAGTGTGGGGCAATCCAAACCGGAGCTGGGCTCAGTTTTATACGGAGCAGCCTTTCCTGTTCTGTACCACTGCTGGCCTTGCTCTGATTCACCCGGGGCTATCCCTCCCACTTGAAGCTTTTGGCCAGATGACAGTTTTTGAGAATATATATGGGCTTTTGTAAGACGTCTGGAGATTAGAGTGACTCACAGGCCTAAGTTCTTGGGTGTATGCAGTCATACTAAAAGATATTTCAAGATTTTGAAAGCGAAGCAGAGTCACCCCAGAAGTCAGATTTGGCTGCGACCTACCAGTTGGCCAGTCGAGGCCAACTGGGTCTAGGTTGCTATATTTAAAACATATACAAAAAACATTAACTTTTTAATATAAAGTACTTTCAATGTGTTATTTTGGTTATTTCTATTACTATTTGCTAGTACGTTTGAAGAGGAATGATCATTTTCCATGTTTTTGGATAATTGGTAGGCTGTCAAGGAAAAGCTATGATGAGAAAATAAGAATAGTTTTCCTGGCCTGACCAAAAGTCGTCTCGGCTTAACATCTTGTCTGAATGCGGATGCCTAATGTAGAGCATGAGAATGGGGCGATTACCCCCAGCCCACACCCCCCCAAATCTCTCAGTTTCACCTCTTTATGCTCTGTAAATCAGAGGTATAGCACACTATAGCATGAGTAAACCTCGAGGGATTTCTCTTCCACAAATTTGCCCAGTCTTCCCTTGAACCCCTATAAAATTATGTCTCCATTGTGTCCTCTTAACTACGTGAGCAAGAAAGCATCTCTCCTTCTTTATTTTTAGTCTGGCATAGACTAGCATGCTTTGATGGTTAATAATGATGGCATTAATGTAGACAAGCTGGGTTTAATTTGTTTTGTCCTCGTATAGCTGCTGAAGAGGGACAAGCTATTAAGAAACCCAGTTCTTTTATGGGGCTTGAGAATGTCTTTTCTACTTTTTTTTTCCCTTTTTTTTCCTAGAGTGCTCCTTCCTTTCTCTGCCCTTTTTTCAGCATATGGATATTTGATGTTTTTCTATAGCTGACTTACTTTGGCGAGCATTAAGACAAGTTAATTCTCTGGCCGCTGGTTCATATGGAGAGTGGCAGAGCTGCCGGGTTGATGTCACCCCGCCAAGATGGCTCATGTCCTCCCAGCTCGGCTCGTAAGCAACCTCTGCAACTAACTTGCTGCAACCAACCGGGTGGAGAACTGCGGCTCCCTGCAGCCCCTCCTTAAAAAAAACATATTCAATAGATGCATTGGAGCCTCCTTTTGCAATTTTATACTCAAGTGCTCGTTTTTTATAATGGTAGTTTTGGAAGCCAAGATCTTCATCACTTATAATGAGCCATTTGTTGTTTCCCATGAATTAGCGGGACTACCCGAGGCGTGGAAGAGGTCCAAGGCAAGGAACTTGAGGAAAATGGTAATTCCCACTGCAGAGCAGCCAAACACTCTTAGCTTACTCTGCTCACTGGCCTGAGCTCTGCAGCTTCAGCCCAGCCAGCTACCAGCCAAGGGGGCTCGTGGCAAGGAGGGGGTTCCTCTTATCCAAGGAAAGGGATGAAAATGAAGGGAAAGGCTCCAAAGACACTTGGGCAAGTGAGGAGAAGAGAGGCAGCCTTGTAATCCAGAAGAAAAAGAAAGGTACCAGCAAAGGGCACAGGCTGGAAGCAAGAAGAGACCCTCAAAATCTTACTCATCTTTTCTGCCATGCCAGTCTCTGCTCTTCCTCCAAACCCCAAGCTGCTCTGCCCTGGCTTTTCCTCTGCTCCTTGCCCACACAAATTTTGGGCTGGCTTACAGTGATTAGAAGCTTGGAGTCGCCTCTGACTTTGTGGTGGGAAGAAGTGCTTCACAGAAGACCAAAAAAAGTCTTCTCTGAAGTAAGAGA